AAAATTTCTTGTAGTGAGTTACAAAAGAATTACAAAGTTGTTTCGTCTTCCTTTGAAGACTTGATATGACAAATTAAGTACAAAGATGATTATTGAAAGAATGAAGAAATAATATTTCATTCTAGATTATTATCTCTATTCTTTCTGAACTTCGAACTTTGCTTCATAAGGCTTTAGTGAAGATGACCATTTCAAATCCTTAATGGTGTATTTGGATGAGGATTTTTACAAATTTAAGGAATTTTAAATTCTTGGTATTTGAATTACTTTGATTTCAATTTCTATCATTCTTAAAATATTTTGTTTGGATAAGTCAATTCAAATTTATCAAATTTTAAATTGTTAGGTTGGATATGATAATTTGATTCCACCATGATAAAATTGATTTTAAAAATATATTTATATGTTGAGACTTTTAAATTAAATTTTATAAAAATAAATATTAGCTAATTTTTAAATATTTAATAATTTTAAAAATTAATATTAGATAATATTTAATATATTTTTGAATATTCAATAATTAAAAACATGAAGAGATAAGAGATAAGATAAAAAATTTATAAGTGAAATAAGAAGAAAAAAATATGAGAAATTTCAAATTCTTATTCTTTTGGGAGATTTGAAATTCTACTATTTCAAGGAATTTCACAAATGCTTGAATTTCAAATTCTTTATAAATTCTTCATCCAAACAAGGTATTTCACCTCAAAGAATTTGAAATTCTTCAAATAAATGAATTACTCCATTTAAATTCTCCATCCAAACACACTATAAGATTCTCTCTCATGGGGTTGCTTCGTCTGTCTCCACAATTTGCTTCTTGAGGAGAGAAGTGTCCGTTGGTGTAATAAATGTTTGCATTAAATATTTTTACCAAACTGTCACTTCTTATCTAATTAAAGAAGTTACCTATCGCCTTTTGGCATCGAGTAGATAGAACCATACATGTGTTAGGACATTACAATGATGAAACAACTTTTGACTACAACTTTCCATGTTTGCAGAGATCTACTTGTCCTTTTCTAATGCAAAACATTTCTTTCTTTTCTCTTTTATAAAACATTGATACCAAAGAAGTATTTTTAAATTCGATCTATTAAGGAAACATTCATACGTGATCAATTTCTTGTTTAGAAATCATAAATGATAAATATTTAATGCATATCTCTTTTTATGACTAAAAGTTAGCCTTATTAAATAACAGAATCGTTTTAATGTAACCTTTGTCTTATACCAAGATTCATCTTACTAATGGATTGCATCTTAGTACAAGATTCGTCTCAATCATTTTGAAAACTTTATTCTATTGATAAAAAACTCTATATTTATTAATAACAAAACTTAAGATCAGAGGGATATAAGATTGTCTTTTGTCCTATCAAACTACATATTTATTTTAAAAAGAAATAAGTTATTAAAACAATAATGATGGTGCAAGTGGTGATTTTATTTAGTGGGAGAAGACAATTATCTAACCATTATTGTTATTAGAGAAGATAATGTGTAACTACTAAAAGAGAGTCTACTGTTAAAGTGACAAATAGAGGTAAAAATAAAAATATTTTAAACCAATATAAATAAATAAGTTTAAGAATAATTGAATATTAAGAAAAGATGTGAAAACCCAAAAGTGGTATTCCTTAATACATAGTATAGATAAAAAAAATAAAATATGAAATTACATAATAGTGAGTGTTTGTATTATTTAGAGATTTAATTATTTAAAATAGATATAGGGACATAATGATCTAAAAAAATAGAGATCAAAACTAGTTATACATTCGATATTATCTCTTTCATTTATAGTATAGATAAAATACTATAATTTAATACTATATATATATTACAAATAAAAAATAGAAATTATATAATAGTGTGATTTGTATTTGGAGATTAAATTGTTTAAAATAAATATAAGGTTTCCAAAAAAAAAAAAAAAGCGAATATCAAAAGTACCTTGTATCCCCTTTATATAGCAAGTATACATAAATATATGAGTATAGATAAAGAGTAATTTGTCTTTAGAAATTTTATTGTTTAAAATAGATATAAAGACATAATGGTCTAAAAAAAATTAATGGCATCTATTCATTTATTGTATAGATATTATTAATATATAATATATCAACTTCGTTAATAACTAATTTTTAATGGAAAATCTGATTATCCTACGCACACGGTCCCAACTATTTTATTTTTCTTTTCATTTACATAACTCAAACAAGAGACTTTTCTTAATAGGATTGGATCCAATAACTCTTAGATAACCGGCTTATTAATGTTGTAAAATTAATTTGCAATACAAATTACCTTTTTCTATAATTGAGATTAAATTATTTAACATACAATTTACGTTATTTAAGAGTAATTGAATTAATTATGATATAAATTATATTTTTTAATTGAAAGTGATTTAATTATGATATAAGTTACCAATTTTAATAGTAACTAGTATTTTAGTTTGTGTAATATAAAGAACATATATTATTAAATGAGGGAGTTATAATTACATCGGTGTAACTTTTACTAAGTATTACACCACTCAATAACTTTATATTAAATATAAATTTTGTAAATTTAACTGTTAGATTGAAAGTTCCTTACTCTTAGATCATATATACAAAATTTTATATTAATCTAGGATGATTTGATACTTCATTATTATAAAATAAAATTGACGTAATATATTCATTTCAAAATATACTAAAATATGAACACTTTGATTACCTTTAAGTTGTTGTTCAATTTTAACAAAATTTGATATATACATATAAAATGATATGAACTTTCAATCTAACGGTTAGATTTACAAAATTCACATTTAATATAAAATTATTTAGTAGTGTAATACTTAGTAAAAGTTACACCGGTGTAATTATAATCTCTCTTATTAAATATAACTAAAATTTATAATAAAATATGTATACATATAAATACTATATTTGAATATAAAGATTATAATCAAAAGTTGTATAAATAATCATTTTTAAACTTATAAATTATATTTGAAATTTATAATAAATAATTTATATTATGACATAAAATTATTTTTATATATTGATCATTTATTTATAAATTAATATTTTAATTTGTACATTTTATATACTATATGTTTCTTATATATAATTAAGATTTATAATAAATTATATATACTAATATATTATACTTAAATATAGATTAGTATAAATAGATGTTTTTATACGCATATATTATTTTATTAGAAAAACACATAAATTATACTTTTAATTTAAGATAAAAAATTTATATTATGACATAATAATATTATTTTTTAATTATTGATAATTTATTTTAAAAATATTAAATTATAATTCATAAATAAATATGATAAATAAAAATAAATTAGATAAAAAATTATTTTTTAAAAAAGTATCATCAAAAAATAATTCTTAAAAATGTATTTAATTAAGATAAATATTTGTATTTAATATATTGTATTTTATTATTAAAATTTGATTCATTGATAAATATGATAAATTAAAATTAAATTAAATTAAATTTACAAAAATATTTAAAAATTATATTGTTGATTTATTTTAAAAATATTAAAATTAATTTATAGATAAATATGATAAATAAAATTTGAATTAAGTAAAATTATTTCTTAAAAAAATTAAAAATGCTCCTGAAAACACTCTTAATAGAATATTATATTTAATATATAAGAGTAAATCTATAATAATAAGTAAAAAAAATTCTATAACAATAAATATGATAAAAAAATTTATAACAATGGATAAATGATAATATAAAAAAAATATAATATACATAGTTTTTATAGATTTTTTTACGGCACATTCCCTCCTTTTACTTGCTGCACACACTCTCCAATAAGCAACTGGTCTTTTCACCTTCCATGTCAACAAATCTTTCTCTCCAAGTTTCTTTTTGTTTTTGTTTGTTTGTGTTTTTTTTTCTTTTGAATTCTTTCTCTCCAAGCTACCTTCTTTAATACTCCATATATCTTATTGACTTTCCATGGCAACTGAAATCAATGGCCTACAAGCAATTATCTTTCTCTCCTTTTTTTTTTTTTTTTTTTTTTTTTTTTTAATTCTTTCTCTCCAAGCTACCTTCTTTAATAATTATATAAAAATATTTATCAGGAGAAATTATTTAAATAAATTTTAATCAATTAAAAATTAGTTTTTAATTTTTAACAAAAAATAATTCAATTTTTAAAAAGAAAATTATTCCCATTTATAATTATAAATCATTCATTGGTTATAATTTTTTTTTAAATATATTTAAATATATTTATTTATTATGAATTTTAGTTTTAATATATTTAAACATGATTTTTTTTAAAAAAATAATTATATAAAATTAATTTTTTATCATGTATAATATATAACTAAAATACTACTTTATTTATTTATATATCTTCACACAATCTAAAATAGTTTGATCATACAAAGAATAAATTAGAAGATAACATTCATCAATATAATCAATAAAATCAAATGAAAAATAATTGATAGTCCGAAATGACTATACGAAAATCTGTGTGAATATATAAAATAATAATTTAAATTATAAAATATTAAATTAAATAATTATTTTATAATAAATTTATTAAAAAAATATTAAATATTTTAATTTTTAGAGAATAATTTAAATAAAATTTTCGGACGCTGTAATTTTACTTAAATCAAATAGATTAATAGTTGATTTTAACTTTACAAAATCTATCTTATTTTAATTTAAATTTTATAAAAAAAAATTGATGAAATCAAATTAAATTAATTAATACTCTAGATCAATAGTTTGTTTTTATGTTTGTTTGTTTGTTTTTTTGAGTATCGAAATTCAAGGGAGGATAAAATTTATTATACATCATTTTATTGGTCCTTTAAATTGTCTGAGACGTTAAAACCCAAGGGAAGAGAATAATATCCTAACCTCAGTTGTTTTGTTGCGATACATTGCTGAGTAAGAAAGCACGACTGTTTTCCTTCTTCACTCCTCAGGGTGTCTTTCCGATGGCCAAATTGAAGATAGGCGGAGCATGGGCGGGGGTGGTGGAGGCCGTCGACCTCGACGCCTGGACCCTCGCCGCCCTCCGCGACCACGTGGCCGCGCAATCCGACACTCCCTCTCACTCCATCAACCTCATCTGCGCCGGCAGGATCCTCAAAGACGACGCCGTTCCGCCGCGGACGCTCTCGCAGCTCGGCATCCGAAACAACGCCAAGATCCTCGCCACGCGCGCCGCCTCCCCGCAGCAGGGACACTCGCTCCTCGCGCAGGAGGAGCGCGCCAACAGGCTCGCGCGTATAAGGTGAGTCACACGCGCCCGTTTTTGGTTGCGAAATGCGACGTCGTTTTGACGGGATTGGTTTGGTTTGGTTGGGTGTGGACAGGGCTGCTGCGACTGCCATGGCGGATAGGCACGCGGATGGCGCGTTGCCGGTTGAGGACTTCAATATTGAAGTGGAGGATCAGAGTGGACAGAAAGTGCGTTTGGGTTCTGAAACTGATCAGAGGTATTTATAATTTATGTGTGTCATAACTCTCTCTGTGTGTGGCTTTTCTGTGGTTGAAATTGGAGTTGGAGATTTTTTTTTTTTTTTTTTTTTTTGTGTTTGGCAGGGCAGTGATGATGGGACTGATGCTTCATGCCAAGGGGAAGCGGCTTATTAGACAGCGGAATTATAAAGATGCGCTCGAAGTGCTTACCATGGGAGAGGTTGCTTCCTTACTTTAATTTCCATCTTTTCTAAAAACTGCTATAAGTTGAACTTAACTAGAGTTGAAAAAATTTATTTTTACAACCTTTTCTTTTTATATGCATCAAAAGACGTGTTTTGATCGTGGTTTTGAACTAGTATCCAAACATATACTAGGGTGTGTTTGGAAATCAGTTGAGTTGAACACAATTGGGTTGATAAACAAAAAATTACTCTTTTTTTGCATTGGAATATTTATTTATTTTTGTATTGAACATGATTTTAAATTGGTATTTAAATATACAGAATGTTTTGTTATGAATGAGTTTAATAGTGATGTATTGTCGTCATAATTTTTTTTTTCTTTTCGTATGGGCTCATTCTTGACATGACTTTTAAGGAAGCAATTATAAAAGTTAACAAGCTTTCCCTTGTATGACAGTTTGTGATCGGATCATGATGTAAATTGTAATTAAACGTTACCCGACTGATGCATGTATTAATTATTCATTATTAGTAAGTCTGGAAGTCGAATGCAACGATGCTGTTCAGTATAACATGTCAATTGTCATTGTTGTGCTCAGTTTAATGTGAGGAATAGGCACTTGACTTATGAGCGTTGTCTGATTTAAAGTTAATTGCCTTTGTTAGGGAACAGGGCAAGGAGGTTTAGACATAGTTTCTTTGATGTCTTTATCCTCTTTCTTTAACCTTGGCGTTTTGGGTAGGATTTTGGCTATATTATTATTATTTTGGATGACCATGGCTTATAATTCATGAAGTTGCACGCATTGGCCTCTCTTCAGTCTAATTTGTTTTTGGGTATAGATTTTTTTAATATTATTTTCTTACATTTTTAGTTCCAGAATTCATAATCTAATTTGTTTTTGCAGGAGGCATTCTCTCTTTGTGATCCAAAAGTCATTGAGGTGAGTAATCTATAATCGATATCCTCATTTGAGCAGATGGCAGAATTTTTATGAAAGTTGTATATTTGAGTCAAGCCATAGTATAGTGTAATAATATACTTATTACACTGAAAACTGTGTGTCGGGTGTCTTTTCCTTTTGTTTATTCCAAAACAATTCATGTCAGAATAACCTTTTTCCCTCCGAAGAGTTTGTTGCATGCATGGATTTTGTAATGAGGCAGTTGAATTACCTAGGAAAAAGTTGTCTTTTAAAGGGAATATAGTTTGGGGGCATCGTCTAAAGGTAGAGGTGCACTTTAAAGGGGAAAGTGTGTTGTTATAAACCTTGATTGAAATGTCAAGGCAGTGGATTTTAAGAACATAATGTTATATGTGCGCATGTATTTCAACACACTTTTGACTCTTTTTTCTTTTCAATCAATGGTTATATATAACACTGCACTTTTTTTCTCTATAGTTCATCCCTCACATCAGAGGAGCCAAATTCTTTCACACAAATCTCATTTTCTGAATACAATTTCTGTCTATTCAGCTTATCGACAATGTTCCAATACTACAAATAGACATGGTATGGTGCTATTTTATGATACGAGACATCAGATGGCTCTCAGATGCAGGAAAGCGTCTAGAAATGGCTAGGGCAGGAATTGAACGTGCCCATGGAAAGGATTCTCTTCGCCTCAGACTCTTACAAGGAGGCCGTTATCCAGAACTTGCATTGTCAGTTCCTGTATATTGTTTATCTTTTTCTTTTTCCCCTTAAAATTAAAACGTCTCTAGATGTTCCTGGCATGAAATTCAACATATATTGATTTCCAGCACTTATTTCTTCAACTTGTAAGCTGATTAATTTGCCTTCATTCACAGGCATTTGAGACTAGAGCTGCTTGAAGGGGTGGTGGCATATCATACTGGGCAGTTGGAGAAATCAAGAAAAGCATTGGGCTTTGCAAGAGCAAAATTTCTCCAGGTGTGATTAAAGTATTATAGCATATTTTGAAAAATTAATTGGGAAGAAGAAAGAAAGTCAAAATTTTACGCTTCTGTTCTATTTTTTGGTCTCCATGTTTTATTGCTATGTTTATTGGTTGCTGTGACATATAACATAGTCTTACAAGATGCACATCAATGAGATAAAGATCAGCTCAAGCTCAAGCTCCTATAGCATTAAGATTTCAGCATTACTAATTTTAAATTTTGAAGGCACCACTACCAGTAGATATTGAAAATCCCTCTGGTTTCAGGTGTTTTGAAATAGACTAAGTTTTTTATTTATTTATTTATTTTTATGCCCCCTACCCCCTTTTTATCTTTCAAAGAAGAAGAGAAAGAACTTAACTGTCCAGCCAAATAGACATTCTGTACTTTTCTCCTCTTGTAATCAATGTCTTGTTTTTGTTGCAGCTGCAAGTGCCAGATGAAGCCCTATCACTTGTTATGAGCATGGGGTTCTTTGAACGTGATGCAAAGAGAGCATTGCGAATGAACAATCAAGATGTTGGGAGTGCCATTGATTTTCTTGTTGAGGAAAAGGCGAAGAAATTGCAAAAAAAGGAGGAGGATATTCAGCGAAGAAATGAAATTAAGTCAGTGATACTAAATGTTTATTAACATTATTTATTTTAGTTACTCTTTCTAAATAGCTTGCTTCCAGGGAACAAAAGCGTTATGGGATGACACCTTTAAAAAAAGCTGTAGATCTAGAGAGATTGAAGGAATTGGTCTCTATTGCGTAAGTGTTATTTTTGTGTTGTATTGTCTAGTATTGATATTTGGTGCAGTAAAGAGGCTACTTCTTTGTACTTAATGCAAGTACCTATGCTATAGCACTTATAATTAATTTATTTTGTTCATGCAAAAGAGCATTGCGAATGAACAATCAAGATGTTGGGAGTGCCATTGATTTTTTTGTTGAGGAAAAGGTGAAGAAATTACAAAAAAAGGAGGAGGATATTCAGCGAAGAAATGAAATTAAGTGAGTGATACTTAATTAATGTTTATTAACATTATTTATTTTAGTTACTCTTTCTAAATAGCTTGCTTCCAGGGAACAAAAGCGTTATGGGATGACACCTTTAAAAAAAGCTGTAGATCTAGAGAGATTGAAGGAATTGGTCTCTATTGGGTAAGTGTTATTTTTGTGTTGTATTGTCTAGTATTGATATTTGGTGCAGTAAAGAGGCTACTTCTTTGTACTTAATGCAAGTACCTATGCTGTGGCACTTATAATTAATTTATTTATTCATGCGTGGCTTCTATCCTCTAGCGTTGCATGCATACATGCAATTCTAACATGAAGAATTCATTATATTTCTTATTGTGTTCTGTTAGTTAATCATACTAGTATTATAAAGCTGCTTCACATGACCATACTGTACTAGTCCGGCTTGACACTGCTACTCTGGCAGGTTTGAAAAAGAGCTTGCTGCTGAAGCCCTTAGAAAAAATGAAAATGATACTCAGAAAGCATTGGATGATTTGACAAATCCGGAAACTAATTCTGCTTTACAGGTTACTATTTGTTTTAAAAAAATTCTATGTAAATCCAAACAGTATTTTTACTTACTCTAATCAACATGAAGGCTAATATCGAGTCGAGGAAAAGGAAGAAACAGAAACAGGAAAAAGATTCTGCAATTGAAGAAGTTGTGCGAATGGGGTTCGAAAGATCAAGAGGTACAGAAGTTTTTTAGATTCAAGGCACAACAATGTGCTAACGTAATACCTAGTTATAGTAAATATAGGGTTGTTCTATTGAGTTCTGATACCGCTGCTTCTTTGCAGTGGTTACTGCCTTTGAGGCCGGTGGTACTATAGAACAAGTATTGGAAAGACTGACAGCACCTGAGACTGACCCCACATCTGCGGCCGGAAATACACATCCCAAAGAAAATTCAACCGCCGCTCTCCATGGTGGTGCAAGTTCATCTGCTCCTTTACCGGACAATGTTAATTCTGATATTCTAGACATGATGAATGAGGCTGAAGATCCATCTACTTACAGTGAATCAGCAGAACGAGATGTAGAGATGGAAGATGAGCTCTCTGCAGATATAGCGAAATCAGATGCCTTGGCTGATTATGACATTGAAGTTAATGTAGAAGGGGAAGCCATATCTGAGTATCTGGCCCTGGTTGAGTCTGCAGGTAGTGGTGGGAAAATGGTTGCTTCCCAGTAAGAAAAAAATGATTTTGATGAATAATGATCGGTTTAATGTAAATAGCAGGATGATATAGATAATTTATGCTCTTCGTTGCGGGAGCTGATGTAAATAGCGCCATAAGTACATATGAAAATGTGTTCATACCCTGGAGGTTTTTGTGATAGTAGTTCCATTTAGTATTTAGACACTTAATTTGCTATTGAAAATTTGAAATTCCTGATAAATACATGGTAAACACATCGAGATTATTCTCGATATATGGCCGTTTCGTGATTTGTGAGACTCGAACAAAGGAATTTCTTACTCTCACTAAGCGCTCAAACCGTGGCGTTAAGCCCATATATCATGAATTTGACAAAGTTTAAGGTGAAAGCTGAAAGGTATACTTTAGTAAATGTTTGTTAAGCGATAAATTTTTTAATGCTTGAAAATTATGATTTAGGAATTATGTGAATCTGTTTGATTGGTTATAAATGTTACCTAAGAGTTAAGGATTTTTATTATATTAAATAAGTAAATAAAGGTAATATATTTTTTTTTTATCTTATTAAAATTTTAGTTTTGCTTTGATAAAATTTGGTTTTAACTTCTTTCATGGGAATAATTTTGTCGGAATCTATGCATAAATTATTTTCGAGAAACAATTGCAAACCAAACGTAAACCAAACGTAAACCAAACGTAAAGAACTAACATCTAAGAATCAAGAATTTTTACAGTATTAAATAAATATAAAAAGTAATATAATTCTTTTATGGCATTAAAAACTTTATTTTTATTTCAAAAAAGTTAGTTTTTTTTACCTCGAATAATTTTGTGAAAAATTTATGCGAAGATCATTTTCAAGAAATAATATTTTATAGGAGTGTTATTTTTAATGACAAATCAAATATGAAAAACTAACAATTTCAATTTCAGATTCTCAATAAAGTAAATTTTTTTTCATACACCATATATCACCTAAGGATAAAATTACAATAATTTTATTATTTTTATTTTAATCACTATGTTAAATAAAAATTACTCCCTATCTCTTTATTTGTTGAATTTTTAGAAATTTTTTTTTCTATGTACTTGTTATTTTTAAATTTCAAGACAACATTAATTTCTATGTTGTCAATTATACATTTATATCTCATCTAACTTTTAATTATTTTACGATTAATATACATTTATTACAAAACAAAAATGAAAGAGAGTATAATAAAAAACATTAAAATTATTTTATGAAAAATAAGAAAATTTATTATGTTTCTTGATATGTGTAAAAAAATTTAAATGACTATTATAAAGGGACAATATTTTTTAAGAACACTTTTCACTTTAAAAAGATCAAATTCATTATTTTGCGTTGTCACTCTGAATTATAAACTTAAATTTTCATTCAATTATTTTAGGTTAAAATACTTTTTTAATTCTTATAGTTTCACTTTACCTTTTAGTCTTATAGTTTAAAATAGATTTTTTTAGTTCCTGTATTTATTTATTTTTTCAATTCCTATATTTACTTTTTTCAATCATTATTAGTCTCTATAGTATAAGATAAATCTTTTTAGTCATTGTATTTGTAGTTTTTTGTAATCCTTTTAGTCTCTATTGTTAATTTATATATATATATATATATATATATATATATATATATATATAACGTCTGTTTTATTTTGACGTGATAGAGGTCTTCAATTTTGTAAAGGTAAAAACAATAATGTCTTAACAATAGACATCGTACTACTCCTCATCATGTTATCTCCCAAGCCATGCAGAAGTTTGAGGAATGGAAGCATGCATGTGCAAAGAAACATCCTCCTCCCAAAAAGTCATCATCTCCTAATAGCTAGATGTGCCCACAAGTAGGTTTCATCAGAGGAAATGTTGGTGCAACCATATTTAAGGAAGACAACAAAGTGGGCTTTGGAATCTGTTTACGTGATGCAACTGGGTCCCTCATCAAGGCCAAGTCAGGATGGCTCTATGGAGTGGCCCTGTCCCACGAAGCAGAAGCCACGACTCTCCTAGAATCCATCTGTTGGGTGTGTGATCAAGGTTATACCCATGTTATACTAGAATTGGATTCCAAACAAGTTGTGGAGGACATCCTAAACTCCAATAACTATTATTCAGAATATGTTCACATTCTACTCAAATGTCGTTCTCTACTCAACTCTCATCTGAACCTATTGGTCAGGTTCATCCTAAGACAAGCAAATCATGTCGCTCACTCCTTAGCTAGGGTGTCAAGATACTATGCTAGCTCCCATGTTTTGTATTTCATTCCAACATGTATTACACCTCTTATTTTGAATGATATCAGTTAAGTTTATTCCCCTCAAGCAAAATAAAAACAATAGACATCGTAGGTGAGAATATAAAAGAAGCACAAAGCGTCGACATCTAATTTAGAATCCTTCTAGCAAAATAAATTTGACATCAGACAAACAAAGTTGAATCAATAATTGTCACATCGATACATAAGAGACAATGTTACAAAAAATATTAACAAAAGAATTATAAGGATTAAAAAATTTATAAATATAAGGACAAAAAACTTATCTAAAGACTAAAAAATATTGAAAAATATAAGTATAAGAATTAAAAAATATATATTTTAAACTATAGAGATTAAAAGATAAAATAAGTGAAACTATAATGATTAAAAGAATATTTTAATTATTATTTTATTTAGATTAAAATATTTTTTCTCTCCATAATTTCATTTTCTTTATCTTTTAGTTTCTATAATTTAAAATAGATATTTTATTTTTTTAAAAAAATATATTTACAAATGATAAATTGTCAAAAGCAAAATTCAAATAAATATTATACTTGAATAAAATAAACAAAAGTTAACACGATTTCTAGACGTAATTTGGGCTTTTACTTGTTGTACCGTACATTTGCTTCTAGCACCATTCTAAAATATTAAAGTTTAAAAAATACTCTTAAAACATATGACCCTTAATATAAGCTCAAATGAAATAAAATTCTCCAAGCAACATATTCTAAAATTCTAAAGGTATGACCTACAAAGAAAGATAAAGGTGCCTTACAAATACAAAGGGAAAATAAGCTTATACATGTATCTACTATATACAAGGTAAAATAACTCAACCTATACAAGATATGTACAATAGAGAATATGAGACTAAAGAAAGGAATCATACTCAATGCTCATATAGAGCATAGGTCTAGGAAACACCTCCTCTATAGAAGCCTTCTAACCATGGACTTAGTTAAATGTCCAATAGTCTTCAAATGTGAGTTTCCTATGGATGATCCTCCATCAACTTGTATCCTTCTTGGTCTTATCTCTTGCTGTTATTCTTATATTATTTGTCCAGTAGATGAAACCAAAGACAAGTTTTAAGGTACCATATCCTTGCCTATGAAGTTATCTTCTTGAGTGTACTTAAACTTACATATTTTCTTTATGAGAATTACCTTGTAATACCTTTGACCTTGTAAACTTTGAGAAGCCTAAAAAGGCTATTAAAAAGCTTAAGTTACCTTATCATTCACACAACATTGGTATGCATCAATCAAGCTCTAAATAGAATTAGCTTAACACCTATCCTCTAAATACTACACACCTTTCTAGCACTTGGTTAGGGCTTACTTTATCCCCTGACTTTGTACCTTACTCAATGGTCATTAATCATGGCAAGTATGGCTCCGTTTGACCTCATATTGTTTTCAACATATAAAACCTAAAGGAGACAACATTCAAAAAGTAACTTTTCCTTGAGAGACAACTTTCTTAATGAAAAGTTTTCATCATTACGCTCTTTTAGAGCACCACAACTTTAGATCCACACAATGAGATATTTACAATGATAAAACAACTTATTCTCCTCTAGTTTAACTTTAAACTTTTGAAAAAAAAAATGCATTTTGAAATGAATGATTTACAACTTAATGAACTTTAGCATACAAATTTCTACTTTACAAAATACATTATAATTTAACAAACACAAAACTTAATAATTTCTCAACTAATAAACAAACAAAAAAAGAACAACATGCAACTTTATCAAAACCATCCTAAGTTAATCATATATCTTCTTTAAAACTTTACCATACATCTTACTCAACAAAACAACAATATTTATCAAATAACTTAGAGTTTAGTAGAATAGGAGATTTGTTGAGCGACCTATAGTCGCTGGTCGACCTTAATTCTAGGGAGGAAAACTCACTCAATGAGATTTCACAAAGACCAAAGCTTGCTTAGCCATAACAATTATCTTAGTGAGCTTCAAATAACACTTCTTAGTAGAGACTATTACTAGATATGTGACATCGCCTCGCTTAGCGAGTTTAAGATGGTCAATTTGCTAGGGCCATGGTAGGCTCGCACCTAAGTTGTTTTATCCCTAACAGTAGTATTGAACTTTCCTAATTTAAGTGGAAAAACTTGAGAAATCAAAATAAGTTGTTAAACAAGAGCTTAAAAGTTGTTTATACTTGACCTAGAGAAGACAGGTAAGATGTTGTGATTCGGTAGGGTAAACCCACTTAGACTACTCACCTTATTTGTAGGAGATTTCCATAAGTTGATATATGTGATGAAGCCTTGGTTGTGTTTAAATGATTGAAGTTACTTATGGTGAGAAAGTTCTACATGTTGTAAGTTGTGATTAATTGAAGTTGTGGTTATGTTTTAAGTTAGAAACTAACCTGTTGCTTTGAGTTGATGTTTTATTGATGAAGTTATTACTTCCTTATGTTGTTATTATGTTGATTACTTAACAAGCTTACCCTTGCTTTTCCATGTTGTTTGATTGCAATGATCACACTTGGTATGAAAGAAGGACAAGATTAGGTTGGATGACTCTGCTTGGTGGATGGTTATGTTGTAGATGACCTAGTTTTTGTCTATCTTCATCGTCTTTCTTTATGGTGGTAGGTAACCATTTGGCACATTTAATGTGAGCATTAAAATGTATTTCACCAAATAATACCTCTTATTTGATCAAGAAGGCTACTTATCAACTTTTCATACCAAACGAAGCTTGTAGAAACAATGTCAATGTAGAGCAACTATAGTAATGACTTTATTTGCTTTTCCTTGTGATTTCAGGGATTTGGTTATCTTTAACAAATTTGTGAGTTCCAAAATGGTCTTTTGATTCTGTTTGTTAAGAAATAAAACATTCAAAGCGAACTTTGTCATTAGTCTCAATAAATGATAAATATT